GAGCTTCCGGATGCAGAAGAAGAGGCTGCTGAGCTAGATGCAGATGATCCTGATCCGCCTTCGTTTATCACCACGGTCTGACCACCGTTTCTATTTTGTCCAGAACGACCAGCTGCTGCTGCGGCAGCAGCGGCGGCTGCTGCTGCACTACCGTCATCCAAGCGGTTTCCTCCGCGACCATTGGAGGCGGCACCGTTGTTACCGTATCCATAGAATCCCGGTCCGCTTCCAGAGCTTCCGGATGCAGAAGAAGAGGCTGCTGAGCTAGATGCAGATGATCCTGATCCGCCTTCGTTTATCACCACGGTCTGACCACCGTTTCTATTTTGTCCAGAACGACCAGCTGCTGCTGCGGCAGCTGCGGCGGCTGCAGCGGCTGCTGCTGCACTACCGTCACTCAAGCGGTTTCCACCGCGACCGTTGGAGGCGGCACCGTTGTTGCCGTATCCATAGAATCCCGGTCCGCTTCCAGAGCTTCCGGATCCAGAGGCTGACGATGCAGAAGAAGAGGCTGCTGAGCTAGATGCTGATGATCCCGATCCGCCTTCGTTGATCACAATCGTCTGATCACCGTAACCATTGTCTTCATTTAATGCAGAACTGTAAGCTGCTGCTAAGGCTGCGGCAGCTGCTGCTGCACTACCGTCACCCACGCCCAATCCTCCGAAACCGTTGGAGGCGGCACCGTCGTTGCCGTATCCATAGAATCCCGGTCCGCTTCCAGAGCTTCCGAATCCAGAGGCTGACGATGCAGAAGAAGAGGCTGCTGAGCTAGATGCTGATGATCCCGATCCGCCTTCGTTGATCACAATCGTCTGATCACCGTAACCATTGTCTTCATTTAATGCAGAACTGTAAGCTGCTGCTTCTGATGCTGCTACTGAGGCTGCGGCGGCTGTTGCTGCACTACCGTCACCCACGCCGTATCCTCCGAAACCGCCGGAGGCGTCACCGTTGTTGCCGTATCCATAGAATCCCGGTCCGCTTCCAGAGCTTCCGGATCCAGAGGCTGACGATGCAGAAGAAGAGGCTGCTGAGCTAGACGCTGATGACCCCGATCCGCCTTCGTTGATCACAATCGTCTGATCACCGTAACCATTGTCTTCATTTAATGCAGAACTGTAAGCTGCTGCTAAGGCTGCGGCGGCTGCTGCTGCACTACTATCACCCACGCCCAATCCTCCGAAACCGTTGGAGGCGGCACCGTTGTTGCCGTATCCATAGAATCCCGGTACGCTTCCAGAGCTTCCGGATCCCAAGGCTGACGATGCAGAAGAAGAGGCTGCTGAGCTAGATGCAGATGATCCTGATCCGCCTTCGTTGATCACTACGGTCTGACCACCATTTCCATTTTGTCCAGAACGACCAGCTGCTGCTACGGCAGCTGCGGCGGCTGAGGCGGCTGCTGCTGCGGCTGCTGCTGCATTACTGTCACTGTAAGCCTGACCTCCATATCTTCGAGCTCCTACACCATTGGATAAAGATCCATCGGAAGATGAAGCAGAACTTGAAGAACTTGAGCCAGATCCCTCTCTATTTACAATGACAGTTGGTGACTGCCTTCCGTATGGTGCAAGTGGCACATCAATACCATAACCTATAGGTCCTAAAGCGCTGGATCCGTCAGAGGACTCGGCGCCAGCAGAAGCAGATGAAGAAGCTGTTGCAGTAGTTGACCCTGTTGATGGTGAGCCACCTCTATTAATCACGATGGTTTCACCACTGCTGCGGTACTGTGGACCGAAGCCAAAGAATCCGGCTCCGTTATTGTTGAATCTATTTCCGTATCCAGAGGCTGATGATGCAGTTGAAGAGGCTGCTGAGCTAGATGCAGATGATCCTGATCCGCCTTCGTTTATCACCACGGTCTGACCACTGTTTCTATTTTGTCCAGAACGACCAGCTGCTGCTGCGGCAGCTGCGGCGGCTGCTGCTGCACTACCGTCATCC